GGGCTGCGCCCAGGTGGCCGTGGCAGCAGCCTCTCCAGAGGTAGCGGTAGTGCGTGCCTGCGACGCCCGCCAGACCCCCTAGGAGCCCGAGGCACCAGAGCGCCGCCAGCCCGCCGCGGCCCCGGGACGCCTCCATGGCCTGGTGGACCAAGCAAGCGGGTGCCCAGAACGCTGAGCCCTCCGTCACGGAGAGGTAGGCGGCTCAGGCTGGGTTCCAGGTTCCGACTCCCGGCTAGGTGCTTCGGGCTCTGGCTCAGGACTCAGGATGGGGGCATGCACAGCTCGGATCGGATCCGCTCCACTCAGATCCGCTCCACTGAGCTCTGCGCGGCCCGGGAGCCGCTCTGGGACAGACGCGCCCCGCCCCTTGCTTTATGGTCTCAACTTTCCCTCCGCCCCCTGCAGGTAAAGGCCAAATCCTCAGACGCCTGAGGGGGTTGCCTCCGCCCCTGGTCACGCCCCCTCCCCCGCTAGGCCCCGCCACCACCCCCAGGGGGCCGCGCTTGTACAGCCAAAGCCCGCCCCATTCATTCCTGTGTGCGCGCTCACCGACTGGACACAAACACAGTTGCACGCACTAATGTAGGCACCCACGCTTAGGCAGGCACAGTGCACAAACAGACCCACGTGTGCAACATGCACACATGACATACACAGAGGAAATTCAGACACACAGAAGCATGCACAAACATGCAGAGGCACATACACACATATTGCATAATACGTACACACAGATGTGTGTTCTCCCACCAACATAGGGGAAAAAAAAAAAAAAACAGGACAGAAGGAAGGAAGCCATCCTGGCAAGGCCTGGAGGCCCATCAGAGTGGCTTCATGCTGGAGGTCCTGCAGAGTGGCTTGGTAGGACAGAATTCTCTGATGTGGGAGAGGAGGGCAAAGAGCCGAGGCAGTTGGTGTGGCGAAGCAGAAATCCTGTGGGTGAAGACACCCTAGCCCAGTGTCTTGTGGCCCATACTCTCCTCCCCTCCACTGGAAAAGGCCCAGTACCTGGAGGGAGCCTGCATTGAAAAGTGACAGAAAGTAGCCTCTGCTGGCCCGTGGTGCTTTCCCGCCCAGCTGTGAGCAGAGGCCAAAGGGCCAATCTTGAGCCTTCGTGAGACAGGCAGCCTCGCCCAGCCCCTGTACCATCAGACCTTATTCCATTTGTAGTCCAGAGGCCAGCCCACCCCATTGGCCCACCATGGTAAGGCAGTGCAGAGACAGGCCTGCCTGAGGCCTGCCTAACTGCTGAGGCCTTCTGGGTAAGTCCCCTCCCCTCTCCCGTACTCCCTCTGAGCAGCATGCCACATGGACTCCAAACCCTCACCTTGGGAGCCTCCATAAATCTCACTGATAGACAAGCTGCTGGATTACTGTTTGGACAGGCCTTTCACATGGGCTGATACCATTTATTATCACAATGTGCATCTCATTTGCCAAGAGCCCACAAACAAGTGCTAACAGAATCTTGAGAGTTCCACCCTCTACAGCAACCAACCAGCAGGGCCTCCGCCCCAGAAGCTTCCATGGAGAAGGGGGGGGTCAGCTTGAGAGGGGTGCAGGGCTGTGGAGACCATCTCAAGAGCAGGTGCAGAAAAACACAAGAAACTTCTGCTCAAAAGTCATGCTCACCCATGGGCAACAAGCCTGAGGTCCTCCGTTAACATGCCTCCAAGGAGAAGGCTCCCTCAGTGGTCCTGAAGGTGACACTAAGTCCCTGCCTATGTGGACCTCCTCTGACACCTTCCAGGGTTAGAGTCATGGGCAGATAAACAACTGAACACAGGAAGTGGGAAATGGGCACTCAAAGGTGGGAATCAGATGCTCTAGCATCCCCTAAGCGTCACCCCCCCCCATGAGAAAGGGCTCTTACCATGTCCTCTGTCACAGGGAGGAGCCCTTCTGTGAACCCCCTTGCAGGAAGAGCAGGCACCAGGAGTCCATCCCTGGGCCATCCTGTGGCCATCAACCCCATACCAACTGAACACTGGGATTGGCGTTCCCCAATGGAGATGAGTGCTCAGCACAACACACACACGGCTTCAGAAGGTGAACTGTCCTGCTAAACATTTTTGTATTGATCACATGCTGAAATGATCATATTGGGATTTATCACACATCATCAAAAACCAAGCTGAGATGACAAATATGGCTCCCACGTGCAGCTCACTTTGCTGTTTCTATAGGCCAGTTCCCAGCTCTGCTAGTAAGGAACAACGATGAGACCTCGAGTGAGCCATAGAACCTCTCTGTGCTTCAGTATCCTTGTCTGCAACGAGGGATGATCATGACAGCGTGCCCCTCCCATGGGGAATGTGCTGGACTGATGGAGTCAGTACCAGTCGACAAACATAAAAGCCAACAAGTCAGAGATTAGGTCTGGATGCCTGACCCCTCCTTCCACAGTTCCTTTGTTCAGGCAGACACCCCAAGGCTGAGCAGTGAGACCCATGACAGGGACAGCGTCCAGAACCAACTCCCCAGGGAGGGGGAGGCATGTCCTAGGACCTGTCCCCCTCTAATTTCACGGTGGATATGGCAGAGTACTAAGGCTTCCTGGGAGCCGGCTAGGCCACCTAGGAGGAGACAAAGGACTTAAGCACTGTATATTCCAAACTACCACCCTTCATTCTCACGACACCTCCCCAGCCTAGGGCCCCCTTCATAAGGCACCTGGGCACCATGGCTCTGACTTCTTGGATCCAGGGAGAAGGGAGACAGCCAACAGCAGTGATCCGTGCTCACGAAGCACGCAGGCTGCAGGCTGCTTCACAATTCTAAGCTAGGGCGAAGGGAACGCCCGTATTTTCTGCTGTGAGGCCCTCAGGAGCTGTGCAACCCCCCTCCCCCCAGGGCTGTCCTCTATAGACTTCAATAGCTAACAGCGGAGGCTGCCCTGGCACTGCCCACCTCACTCCTCACAGTCCTCACACAGCCTTTCGTCAGCCCTGCTCTTGGGATCCACGGACTTCCTCCCTTCTCCTTCCTCCTTTCCTGCTCATGCCCACGC